GTTAAGCTTCTGATCCAAAAGATACTTCAGTGACTGATGATTAGTTCTTATAATGAAATGATTCCCCACTAGATAATGCCTCCATTTAGTGACAGCCATTACTAGAGCTAGGAGCTCCTTTTCATAAACTGAGAGTCCCAAGTTTTTGACTGAAAGTGCTTTACTCAGGAAGGCAATGGGGGTGTCCTTCTTGCATTAAGACAGCTCCAATCCCTCCCCCACTAGCATCTGTCTTCACAACAAAAGGCTTTTTAAAGTCTGGTAACTGGAGAACTGGAGCTGAGCACATCAACCTTTTTAAGTGTTCAAATGAATCTTGAGCTTGACTACTCCATTTGAAGTTGTCCTTCTTTAATAACTCAGTGAGTGGTTTACACACCAGACCATAGTGCTTGATAAACCTCCTGTAGTATCATGTAAGCCCAAGGAAACCCCTCCACTTCTTTACTGACTGAGGTATAGGCCACTGTAGAATGTTACTGATTTTTGAATAGTCCATGCTAACACCCCTATCTGTGATAGTATGCCCTAAGTAGTCAACCTTCTTCTGAGCAAATGCACACTTAGATCTCTTCACATAAAGTTGATGCTTCCTCAGAACCTCAAATACAGACCTTAAGTGTTGGATATGAGTATCCATGGTAGGACTATATACCAGAATATCGTCAAAGAAGATCAATACAAACCTCCTCATATAGGGTTGGAATACCTGATTCATTAGTGATTGAAAGGTTGCTGTTGCATTAGTGAGTCCAAAGGGCACGACCAGGAATTCAAAATGTCCACAGTGAGTCTGAAAAGTTGTCTTGAAAGTGTCTTGAGGCTTAACTCTGATCTGATGGTACCTTGCTGTGAGATCCAATTTTGTTTTGTAGACAGAACCAACTAACTCATCCAGCAGTTCATCTACGTTGGGAATTGGAAACCTGTCCTTGATGGTCATTTCATTCAACTTTCTGTAATCCACACAAAAACGTCAAGTCCCTTCTTTCTTTTTAACCAGCAATACAGGGAAGACCAAAGGGTTGTTGCTGTACTTGACTATTCCTTTTTGAAGCATTTCTGCCACCTGTTTCTCTGTTTCCTTCTTGTGACAGTGAGGGTACTTGTAAGGCTTCAATTTGAAAGGTTGTGCCTTATTTTTGAGGTGGATCTCATGATCAACACTTCTGTTAGGGGGCAAAGAGTTTGGAGTTTGGAACACATCATCATAGTCCTGAAGCAATTTCATGACTTCCTGTAGAATAGCCGCTGCCTATTCTTCTGTCTCATTTTTACAATTCAGTGCCATGCACATTTGCTTTTTATACTCTATGAAAGTTCTCAGATCCTTTCCTCTGATTAAATCCATATCACAGTCCTCTGCTTGTCCATGCAAGTGGATTTCATTTCTTTCACTGTGCAGGGATATCCTGAGTTGTTGGAAGTCAAATGTGATAGGGCTAAAGTATGTCATCCAGTCTACCCCCAAAATTATGTCTCATCCTTCTAACTCCATCACCTTCAAATCGAATCTGAAACTATGTTGATTGATTTTCCAGTGCACATTAGGACAGATAGCATTGCTAGTCACAGTGGTTCCATTTCCCATTATGACAGAAAATGGCTGCTCAGTCTGTCTGTAAGTAATATCCATCCCAATTACCATCTCACTGTTGATATAACTGTCTGAACTTTCAGTGTCTACCAGAATAAAAACTTTCTCACCATCTAGGATGCCTGTCAATGTAATTGTTTTCCTTCTCAGGGATTCAGACAATGCATGCAAGGACAGTTCCATAGTTTGTCATGTATTCCCTGTCTGTTCATCCTGCTCACCTATTGCATCTTCAAAAGTCGCATCCTTTTCATCCTCTAGTATCATACAGTTTACATGCCCTAGCTTACACTGGTGGTCTATGCCATATTTTTCTCCACACTTGAAACACAGTCCCCTACTTCTTCTAAACTGCAGTTCTTGTGCTGAAATTTTCTTCATGTCCTTAGTGTCCTCCTACTACCTGTTACTGAACCTAGAGGTCTTAGGGGTATTATTGACAGGAACCTTGTAGGTGTTGCTGTCTACAACTGATGTAATTCCCCTTGACAATCCAAATCTATTCTCTCCAAATTGTTTGGAGTTATTATTCTGCACTTTGAGTGAGTACTCTTGTCACTGAGACAACTCAAAAGCCTCAGTCAATGTAGCAGGTTTCAGCATTCGAATCATAGGTTTGATTTCCTCTTTTAAGCCACTAATGAAGCTAGAAATGAAGTAATTCTCATCTAAATTCCTATTCTTAACCTATATCAATGGTTTCAATTCTTCGAACTTCTCCTGATATTCTTTCACACTGTCTTCCTGTTGCAACTTATTAAATTCCTCCACTATATCCTTGCAAATATTGTCTGTGAATCTTTTGCATAACAGATCTCCAAATTCTGTCCAACTCAATCCAGGTCTTTTCAGTTTAATACCTTGGAACCACTTATCAGCCTTCCTATCTAGGTACATTTATATGATTTCAACCTTTTGGTTATCCAGAATTTGATAGTTCATGAAGTATTTGTCACATTTGCGCAACCACTCCCTAGGATTTTCCCCACTATACAGTTGCAAGTCTATCTTAGGTGGTTTAGGAAGTTGGTACTTACTCCAATCTCTTTTGCAGGCATTCTATTGTTCTCCTTCAGGTTGCAATCTCTGATGAGCTGGCGGTGTAGGAAGAATTGGCGTCTGATCCACCATAATTCCTTCCTCTCTGTATGCAATCTTGTCCTTCGCAGGAGTCATCCTGGATAGTAGCGCATTGAACGTCTGATCCAGTGACTTGCTGAAATTCTGTTCCATTCCTGACAGCAGATTCTCCATTCTCTTGTTGTTTTCTTCCAATTCCATTTTCAAATTGTTCTTAAGCTGTTGTTGTTTTGACTGATGCGAAAGTAGAGATTCCATCAGTTCTTGGAGCTTGATTTCCTGCCTCTTTACTTGTTCTTCCAATGTCCTGAATCTCGTACCTTCTGCCACGGATTTTGCTCGCGCTCCAAGGATCTAAGGCTTTGATACCAATTGTTAAGATCTGAAGTAGTAATCATGCAATTTGGATTGTATACAGGGCGAAGGAAAGAAGATGACTGAGAGAGAATGCGAGAGAGAGAGAGAGAGAAATCAGAAATGAGAGGGAAGCAACTAATTCCGTTATTCTTGTCTGACTGTACAGAAGTGGGCCCCACCTTTAATACATTTCTCTGACTCAACCACTGACTGCCATACCTAATTCAAACCCTATTAATTGGAATGACATCGTTCCATGCTCCCAATTTCCCTTAATTGCTGACTCGATCTCCCAATTCCTGACCCAATTACCCACTCCTAACAGTAACAAATCTATGAGGAAGACCAAATTGAGAATCTATGCTATAAAACAGAACTTGGCGACGTACTCGATAAAACAATCAAATATTCGATAAGGCTCAACGAGCCTTAGAATACAAGACTCGAACTCGATTCACGGCCCCTTATTGAGTTGCTCAAACTTGACTTGAACTCTATCGTCAAGTTGTCGACCAAGTTGCTTCCGAGCAATTCGATTCAATTACATCCCCAATCGCAACAGTAAGTATGAGTATTCCAATTGTAGTTGAACCACTGGATGGATCTAAGTGGTTTGAGCTCAGTCCAACGGCCTATGTTCCCAAATCCACAATTTTTGAGCTATTGTAATTTGTAGATTGCTCATTAGACTCGAAACTATTTGGGCATGCATCAAATTTTTAAATTTTTTTTTTAAAACTTGGCTAATTCTTTTAAGCCTGTAAATTGCATTATGTACCTTATACTGTCAATTTGTGGCACATTTTTTTCAAATTAATTAGAAATCAATTGTTTTTGCGTGAAAAGGCATAATTAACCCTAAGATAAATTCGTTGAGTGTAACACTACTATTCGTCTTGCGGTTCAATATAAACAAAATCCCAATTAATTTTGAAGAAGTCAAAGCCCTTACTCTGTATTTATATATTTTTTTGGTTCTTAAGTATCAAAATTCAAACGAGTTAGTTATTGTTTAGCAATCTTTGCAGTATTTAAATTGCACACAGGTCAATCTTTCTAGCTGAAGTTTCAGTACTCCTCGTAGACATGCAAATATATAAATGTGTGTGTCTGCATGTATAGTATAGTATAGGTAGGTATATGTATAGTGAGTGTAATTTGAGCTTGAGAAAATCGCACGCCAAACCTGAATTTAAAAAAAAAAAAAAAACAACGCATGGCATCAGAGTCTGAGATTCTGATACTGATAGATATAGACTTCAGTCTTTGCTTGTGAAATAGAATACCTGAAATTTGTTGTATATGGCGGCCGGCATAAACTCAGCTCATACTGTATCTATCTATCGTTTTTGTTGGTCTGTGTATCCCATATCAACTGACCTTTTGAAAGAGCTTTATTGTGTTAATTTGTTGTTCTTCTTGATTACTTAAATGGAAAGAAGTTATTGAGTTTGCAAAGTGACAATAAATGAATATCACCTTGCACAAATTGACAGGATTAAAATTTAAAGAACTGTGGAAGTAAGTATTGAGAGAATAAAATTAGCTCAAGTCAAATCTGGAGAAAAGCTTATCTAGAAAGCGTCATCTGCACTTGCTATTTTGTAATGATTAGATAGACATTTGTTAGACTTGTTCTGATCTGAACTTGGAATAACTCTTTCTCATGCGTGAAGAGGATTAGCTGTTTCTAACTCTTTTTCCTGAAGTAACCATGAAATCCCACACTGCATATCATGTAATGGGAACAATTGTTAATTTTATGTCTGGTTAAAAATTTCCCTTTTTCTGGAGTCTGGATTAAAATTTAAAAATTTTCATACCAGACTTGCATAGACTTCTTCGCAGGGAACGCAAAACTCAATAGGCCTGCACTTTCCAAACTACACTAAAAGTTGACGGTGGAAAAACCTGTAATTTATTTGCTATCTAGAGTTTGTAAAAGTCCACTGACGCTGATGGTTCCCAATTGAAATTTTATTCTGTAGTTGGCATTACTGAAAAAAAAAAAATTGACATTCCATCCTGATCACCACGGATTAAATTGTTCATTAATAGTCAAGTAGGCTGCTGCTTTAATTTAAGCACAGGGTACCAAATGAACAAAAGTAACAATAAACGGATTCTAGCAGTTAAGTACTGGCTACCACCACCTGTGATGTTCCGGTGGACAGAATGAATAGGTCTTTCCTAGCTTATTATGGCCCTGGAAAAGGTAGGGAATTGCCAAGGCGTGCACATCTCTCTGTTTGTGCATGGAGTAAAAGGGTGTTGAACAAAAGCAAAACAAAGGCCACACTTTTTATTTCTTCTTCTTTTTGGGTATCCCCTTTGTCATAAATGACAGTAGCACACAGTGATGCTCTTTTGGAGCAGCATAACCGCCAGCTAAATCAACTAGCTGAATGTTTCACATTTGCCATAACCTAAATTCTCCTCTTGCATGCTTTCTTGAACAGCGTCCTGAAGTAGTCAAGTATATCATAAGTATTGCCAGTTAAAAAGTTCAACATTTTAAAGTCATGATCTACGAAAAAAGCACTAAAATTATTTCAAGAATACTGACTCAGTCATGATCTAAGAACTTTGCAGGATATATATAGTATAATCCACACTGACAAGTACGTGCAAGTTGCGTAGTATTTGCATGGAGGAGTAGGGCAAGAAGTTGTTGGGAGTGGGTCGAAGACAATGTTGTAGTCTTCAAAAGCAGGTGCTACATGCGTTCCAAATCCACCTTTTTAATACTACCGTGCCATTGCCGGTCTCTATCTCCTTTTTTTTCTTTTTGGGTTTTTGTTTATGCCAGCGGGAGCATGCACAGGTCAAGATTACATGATTTCATGTAATAGGGAAAGCGTTGAAGATTTTGAATCACAGAGATAAAGAAAGAAAGAAAGAAAGCTAGCTACTGTGCCAATCGGTACCCTACATTGGTTCGACCACAATATTCTACAAACACGCCCCCCCAACAACTTATTATTACAAATCCGTGTTAGAGGAATCAATGAATCATGGAAGCTGACAAACACAATATGTATGGAAGGCCTTGACAAGGCTTTTCTAACTTCCTTCTCCTTCTCCTTCTTCTTCTTGGGCCATTAAACAATTTTCTGTCTATCAATAACTACATTTAAAAGACCGTTCTCGACCACTTCTACTCCGCACTTCTTCCTAGCTAGCTAGCTCCCACACAAACATAAGAACAAGTGAGTATCTAGTAACTCTACTCACAGATGGCAAACCAGCTGGCTACTTCAGGCATTTTGTACCTATGGCTAAACTTGCTGATCATGAATGCTCATAGAATGAGTGTTATGGGCTTTATCGCACGATGGCCGGGAGGCAGAGCAACAAGGTCCTATGACTTCAAGGTTATATATTGCTCTCTCTTTCTTTTGTGTTATTTTACGAAGTCTTTGATCATGCATGTTCAATCAATCGCTGATTCATTTCTTGATGATGTTTTCAGTGAATTTATTGTCTTTTTTTTTGTTTTCTCCCTCCCTATAATGAATCAGGTCCAAACAACAAAAATCGAGAAGTTGTGTAACACTTGGGATATAGTGACAATAAACGGAATGTTTCCTGGACCGGTTATTTATGCACAAGAAGATGATAGAGTAATCGTCAGGGTTACCAACGAAACACCCTATAATGCCACAATACACTGGTAATATATATTCTTCATCATCATGTGCTATCCATGCATCATTAACAGACCCGATTAATTGCTTATAAGCACGTACGAGATTGGCTGAGCTTCATATTATCAACTGATCCTTAACGTTGTGATTATAAATCCGAATGATGATGGTATACATGTGTTATCTGTTGTAGTTGATGATTGGATTAATGTAATCACCAATCATGCATGCATTAAGTCATACGTATTAAGCTATTACCTGGTTTCTTGATTTCAGGCATGGTGTCCGGCAAAGGTTATCATGTTGGTCAGATGGCCCTTCTTACATAACACAGTGCCCCATTCAATCAGGACAGACATTCACGTACGAGTTCACTCTGGTGCAGCAAAAGGGCACCTTATTATGGCATGCTCACGTCTCTTGGCTCCGGGGCACCGTCTATGGTGCCATTGTGGTCTACCCTAAGACTGGGGTACCCTATCCTTTCATCTACCCTTACGAAGAGCACATCATTCTCCTGGGTACGTACAATATGTATATATATGTATGTATATCCTAATTATTGTTTTACTTAAACCATATATATATATATATATATATATATATATATATATATACACAGAGTTCTGTGTGATGATCAGAGGCTTTTGTCATGAAAATGTTCAGGGGAGTTTTGGCTGAGAGACTTGGTGCAACTGGAGCAGTCGGTTATCGCAAGCGGGGGAGGCCCACCACCAGCGGATGCCTACACGATCAATGGCCATCCGGGGCCTAACTATAATTGCTCCACCAATGGTAATTATGCATATGCAATTATGTATGATCCCTAAAATGGAAAAATAAAAGAATAAAAGGCATTCATTAGCTTTGGGGAATACTTTTCTGGTATTTTGCTACACCATATGATAACCCGTAGCGACAGTGTCGCACCAAATTCTGTGAACATTGCATGCGATGGACTTGGTAAAAAGCTCAAATGATATTTGAAGGAGCAACATATGTAGATATGTAGAGGAAGAGGAATGCATACATACATTATACATATATATATATATATATATATATATACACACACTGCATCACCAACAGCTGTTACCAATGGACTGCGATTAAAATATCCTACTCTAATTAATTGGCACTAGCCTTAGTCGCCCCCCTTGTAAAATAAAAATTATTAAGTCTTCCAGGAAATGAACAAAAAAAAAAAAAAAAAAACCACCCGTGCTGTCATGATATAGGCAAACTATTACTATCATTGAAATTTTCCTCTGCATGCATGATCTTGGAGAAAGTCAAGATTTGAGGCTATCTAATCTTCTGATCATACGTAATTAATGTAATTATATTAATGATGGAGAGGGGGGGGGGTCATGATTGTTTTTTTTTTTTTTTTTTGCAGATGTTTACAAAATTGACGTGGTTCCTGGGAAGACGTACCTGTTGAGGTTAATCAGCGCATCACTGAACACGGAGCACTTCTTTGCCATTGCAAATCACAAATTAACAATAGTCGAAGCCGATGCTGAGTACACAAAGCCCTTCACCACCGACCACGTTATGCTTGGACCTGGCCAGACCCTTAACGTTCTGGTCACCGCTAATCAACCTATAGCGAAGTACTCCATGGCCATGGGCCCTTATATGTCTGCAAGAAACGTCCCATTTCAAACTATAACCTCAACCGCCTACTTCCAGTACCTGGGTGCCCTGCCCAATAGCCTCTCGTCACCGGCTCCCGTCCCAACGTTTAACGACAACCTTGCTGTTAAAACGGTCATGGATGGGCTGAGGAGCTTGAGCGGAACCCCGAGCGTTCCTAAGGAGATTGACCAGAATCTGTTCATTACAATTGGATTGAACGTCCAAAAGTGCACTTCAAGGAATCCACAGCAGAATTGCCAAGGCCTCAACGGTGGGGTTATGGCTGCTTCCATGAACAACATAAGTTTTATTAAGCCTAACATTTCGCTTTTGGAAGCTTACTACAGGAAGATTAATGGCTATTTCACCGAAGATTTTCCCGGGGCGCCCTTTAAATTCTATGATTTTGTGAATGGAGCTCCTAATAATGCCCCCGTGGATACTAACTCATTGAATGGAAGTAGGACTTATGTCCTTGAATACGGGACTCGAGTTCAACTGATCTTGCAGGACACAGGAACGGTCACCACTGAAAACCACCCAATTCACCTTCATGGCTTTAGCTTCCACGTTATAGGATATGGCACCGGAAACTATAATCCAGACACAGCAAATTTCAATTTGGTGGATCCGCCGTACTTGAACACGATAGGAGTTCCAGTGGGTGGCTGGGCCGCTGTTAGATTCCTTGCAGACAATCCAGGTATGTCTCTGCACGTTATTACTAACAATAGAATGGCATCAGGGCATTGATTAACAACTCGTGTACCTTTTTAGTTTTTCATTTCTTAAAAAAAAAAAAAAAACCTAAAGAATTAGGATATTAAATTTGGATACTAAAATGTTACTGCAGGGGTTTGGTTCATGCATTGCCATTTGGAGATACATTTGTCATGGGGCTTGTCTGTGGTGTTTATCGTGAAAAACGGGCAAGGACCGCTGCAGACCCTCCCCCATCCTCCGGCAGACCTGCCCCGGTGCTAGTGAAAAGAGGCTGATTTAAGCAAAGCCGTGATAGATCATAAAACATTGGATGCTTTCTCTGATCTTATTTTCCAGCCAGAACTACTGATGAGATTCTTTTGATCCATGCAAGTGTGCCATAGACGTGGGTTTTTTTTTTTTTTTCCTTTTTCCTTTTTCGGGACATCATAATTTGGTGTAAAGAAACAGTTTGACGAAATAAAAACTCATTACCATTGCTTTTGTCAAAATCCTTAGATTTTGTTGCCTTTTGCATGTAATATGGGGCATGTGCTCTGGTATCAGCTGGGCAAGAATCATTGTAGCATGCGGCAGCCTTTATTTGGAACGTTCCAATATGCCCCCCAAAAAAACCTTGGCCAAATCTGCGTTTTCTCTTCCAACAATAAGATTAGATACCCAGTGCCGTCTGTACTAAAGTAGGTAGAACCCAGGGATGTCCTTGCCTCGTGCATTATAACTCAGATTTTACAAAAGCAGTTGGAAAGTAACCTTAGAATAGGAAAATGTCAAAGCAAGCTGCATTTATAATAATGACACTCCAATTACTGAATTACTATTAATTTTCATGGTAAGAGACCATACAATGTAAAGGTGATTTCTTTTCTTTTCGTTAGCGAATTCAAGTCTAAGGGTGCGTTACGACTTTCATCTCACCGTGCTCTCCAAAGAGCAACTCTTCTCAAAATATCATTCAAAAGGTGCTGTGTTAACTTGGAATCTCATTCTAACTAAGGATTCTTGTGGTTTCGGAGGATCCAGCTACCGGAGAACCAGGAACAGAGAGCTCCCCCCTTCTGCCCGACTCTTTGGTCGATCTTAAGAACGTTGATTTTAAGCATGAGTAATTACCCTTCTCCGACCCTTACTATCCAACGCAAACAGAAGTTTAAATCTATTAACTTATTGAATTATTATGTACTAAATCTAATATATTTGAGTAATATCACATTAAGTGAACTTATCAATTATTTTTAGAACCAAATTTTATCTAAAAAATTCAGTGCTCATTAATTCAGATGTTCAAATTTTGATTATCAAACACGTGTAAATATGTTAAAATTTGGATCCATTAATTTTAAATGTTGAATTGGATTAATCTTGCAAACACGTCTGGATATTTTTGGGTATTTAGAGTTGTTTTTGTTTTGGATTTTACAAAGCAAGGTTTGACCTGGGACGTGAGATCTTAAATTCTTAATTAACACAAATATGAAACCAACAAAAAAGAAAGAAAAGCGGCGAGGGTCTGATTCATAGTCTTGTGCTACGCACAAGGTTCACTCATACTGCTAACTCTAATTTCGTTAATTCAAGACTATGGGCAGACCAAACAGTCCATCTAGGGACCATTTCTTTCCTGAATTGCAAATTCGAGAAGACACCATAATGACTCATAGCTAGCGACAAAACACATCCACCTCAACATTGATAAAAGAGAATTGCTAATACTGCTTCCTAACAACCCCTTTTTTTGTTGTTTTGGGGGGGGGGGGGGGAGGGGGGCCGTGTCAGAAAGGTTCAATACTTTTAATCCCACTTCCCACCATCATTCCAAGCAGGATGCTTATTTTGAATGGTGGGTAGAATCTCATCACATTAGCTACCAGTTAGCTGGTTTATATTTTCAACTTGAACAATATCAGGGAAAATTTTAACAGACAAGATGTTGACATCCCTATGACATGCACCACAAACAGAATTGACGTAGCTCATTCAAGGATGTGGATATGGACTTACCTCAAGAATTTTGAGACCTGCAACTCCTCTAGTTCCCAAAGCTTTTTTGTGACAGATGGCCGATACTACACAACTTTAGGAGTCATTAACATAAAAGCCAGCAGATAGAAGGATACTAGTAAGTCAGCATTCAGACTGATGGCATCTATATTTTGTGGTCATGAGATTGAGAATTTAGAGAAGCGCTGACTAAGAGTTACTATAAGCTTTACTGTGCAACGCTCATCATCAACACAGTGATAGTACAACAAATTGTTTATTAGATATTAGTTTAAGACAAAACAGGCATTAAATAAGTTGTCAAAACCTTAGTTATATTAATAAAACACTTGTTCAACTATCGGGCAAATTTTACTTTCAAAACTGAAAATAGACAGACTTCAGAAAGAGTGGCATCTAACAACTTGAAGGAGACCAAAGTCTGGTACAACCAACTATCAAGATGGCATCAGGTTCCACTATATGAGATGCACAAAAAAGGCTGGGCATAAATATACCCTTTGTCCCTGCTCAGCCCCCAAAGAGACGCACAGAAACAGAGCCGTGATGCAATCCCTTCCTTGGTAAGGCCTCTTGCTCAAATGAGTATTCCACGGCATCGCTAGAGAAACTAAAAATGTTCCTAAACTTCGAGGAATGAATATGCCTGGGTTGTTCCAGCCCATTGTTGGAAAATGGTTGAGATACTCATTTGAACAAGATGCTTTCCACGGGAGGGTTCCAACTACTGCTACATTTCTTTGACTAGCATCAGCGAAACTCCCAGTTGCTTTTTTATCAATGCCTGAGTCAAGAGCAAAAGACTTCTAACAACAAGGGACTTCCAGTGGCTTTCACCAGATAAAGGTACGCAAGGTCAAATTTTATAGTTTGCGGGCAAGAGTTCTGACATAACTTATAAATCATATACAACGAGTGATGATCCTCTTTTATTTATCTTCAAGAAAACTAGCAAAATTCACAAGGGGTTCACAACTGTGGATGGATGAAATTTTATTACAAATAATAAGCTTTGAAATTAGCTAAGGTTCAGCATAAACCATGGAATCACAAGACGACACTATGGATTGACTTTATCTGAAGTCCAGAACTTTTCCCCACTCCCAGTCCTTGTAGATGTAAAAGATTGCCTTTCATTACTCTTTAAATTTAGATAATCAACCTGTAAGCAAGACCAACATCACAAATTTAGGGAGGGCAGTAATTTGTCTTAAGATGAGGGACAGTCCCAAGAAGATTTAAACCTGGTCAGGGTCCAGAAGAAGTAAGCAAAATGCACCAACAGGACCAGTAGAAGGGTCTAAAGAGGTTTTTTCAGATAATTCTTCATTGAGAGAAGGAAGTCCAGGAGTAGGTCCCAAATACTGAAGTCTTGATCTAAGCGAACTAGCAAACCAAGCTTTCTCTCTGTGCTGCATTGTTTATATTGAAATCTCAGGAACAATATAATTCTCCAAGTTTAGTAATATAGAGAAATGTATTGCTGATGCACCCACTTTACCAAGAAATCCATTTGTTTATTGAGAAAGCTAACATCAATAACACAGAAAAAGCTCTCTAAACAACTTGTATTTTCAATAACACAGAAAAAGCTCTCTAAACAACTTGTAATGTAATACTCTGAAACTGTAAGCACAATAAGTCTCAGAAGTACCAAAACAGAAAATATAGACATTAGCTGCACATATTGAGCACGTTAAACAGACAACTGCTCACCAGCAAGGGAAATGTGTTTGTCTAAATTAAACTGGAATTTGGGTGAATTGACAAAAAATGAAATCCTTAACATGAAAAACAAAAACCAAAAAGACATACATCTTGAAGGGGATGCCATCATTGGCCATGAGAATACTTGACTTGAACTTTCATACCTAACCAGTTGCTAAAACCAAACGACAGTGGCAAGGATTCCAGACAAAATCAGGCTTCTGAAGCATCATAGGTACTGGTACTTGGTAAAGCTTCCCCCCCCCCCCACCCCAACAACACAAAACAAACACCTTTCATAGATTTCACAAAATGTTCAAAGTTTGTCAATCAGAATTGGAAATATCTATCATCCCACGTATTTATGCATCCTTTAAGTCATAATGTCATCTCATTGGTTTCCGGTTGTATAATTCATTCTTCAGGAAACAAAACTACAAATCACAGACACAAAGTTAGAACATTCACGAATTCACAGACCAGCAACAGCAAGTGAGAGCAAGCTAAAAGGCACATGAGACCAGGAGACTACTCAACAGTACCTGTAATTTTAGAGGGTCAG